CCCAGGACTCCCCTGACACCACGACTCACCTCCACTGCCCCTGCCATCCACATTATCTTCCCAGGACTCTCCTGACACCATGTCTCACCTCCAATACCCCTGCCGTCCACACTATCTTCCCAGGACTCCTGTCTCACACCCACTGCCCCTGCCGTCCACACCATCTTCCCACAACTCACCCACTGCCCCTGCCATCCACACCATCTTCCCAGGACTCCTGTCTCACCTCCACTGCCCCTGCCATCCACATTATCTTCCCACGTCTCACACCCACTGCCCCTGCTTCCCCCTTGAGTAGCATTGTCAATTTGACCTCATGTGGTGATTCTTTGAGAGCAATGCTCCAAGCAGATGTACTGCACTAATTAAAAGCAGAGATTCTGGGGCTCAAAGAAGACTTCTGCGAATAGTTCTGATTTACTGTGTAATGTCTGTGTGTTTAATGACTGTGAGGGTCAAAAAGAGAGAAATGTGAAAGTAGTTTATAAGCCGCAGCCTCTCCCTACACACACACCCCGCCCCCCAAACCAACAATCCAAATGTGCTACCGAGTGGATTCTCTCCCTGCACACACACACACACACACACACACTACACCTTAAAAACAACAATCTAAATGCCATCGAGTGGATTCTCTCCCTACACACACACACACACACACACACACACACACACACCCTCTACACCTTAAAAACAACAATCTAAATGCCATCGAGTGGATTCTTTCCCTACACACACACATACACACAAACCCCTAAAACAAACAATCCAAATGCTCTTGAGTGACCCGGACTCACAGCAGTCCTGAGGGACACAATGACCCTGCTGCCAGAGTTCCCCAGGCTGGGAATCCAGGCTGTTCTCCCCGGGAGTGGCTGGGACTCAAACCTCCAACCGTGGTCAACAGCAGACTGCTCTGACCACTGCAACACCGTGGACGGCTCCCTCTGAGCACCCCTTACACAGTGCAGGGCTGTCAGCACAGCCAACGAGGCAGGTAGATGCTGTCAGGAGGCCTGAGCTTTTCTTGTCAACACAGAACGTAAAGAATGCATTCCGGTTGATTCAAAGCCCAGGACTCTGGTTTGTTTGGGAATGGATCAGGGTGTGCCCACGTCATCTGAAAAGCTGGCTTTGTTTTCAAGGCAGCTGTGTGTCAACTTATTGTCTGATATCCAATCCAGAGCCAAGCTACGGGATCCCGCTTGGTGCCTTTATCAGATTGGTCCAGCACTCACGCTTGAGAGCAGCTGGTGGGTGGGAGCAGTGTGTGAACTCACTGAACCTGACACTGCTACGTGTGAGCGAGTGGGAACAGTGTGTGAGGGAGCGGGGATGAGCGTGCGATGGGGGAACAGCATGTGAACTCACCGTATCCGACACGGCCACGTGGATGAAACTCTCCAGGATGGACGAGCTCAGCTGGTCCATCACGTCAATCATCGGCCGGTCATCGTCCTGTAGAAAGCACAGGCCCTTACTGTCGGCGGGAACGTGAACCCAGCCCTTTGCCCTCTTGGCCTTGAATACGTGGTGAGAACAGCTTGTGAGGGACAGCTGGGAGGCTTCGGTCACAGGAAGTAAGTGCCAAGCCCGTGGGAAGCAGGGTGCTGGGAGGCACACGTGGTGGCCAGCAGCTCTCAGGCCGTCCCCTCACTAAGGTAGCCCCTGGACGGCGAGGTCAGCTGCTGGGAGCCGTTTGGCTGTCTCTGGCTGACTGGCTGGCTTTCTTGCTTTGGATTTCTGCTGAAATCTGTTCAGTGTCACCCTCACGTCTTCACAGACAGGTGGTGGAGGCAGTATTGAGGGGTGTGCGTGTTCACATGCAAACCAGAAGGCTTCGGAATGCTGTGGCCAGCGAGGGGGAGCCACACACCAGCACACACAGAATGTGGGGGAGTCAGTGACTGGCCAGCTGTAAGGACGGTCACACACAGAATGTGGGGGACTTCTGCGCTCACAGGCTGGCCGTTGATTCGGGGCAAGGCAGTTAATCTCTAAATCTCATGCAACAGTCCTGAGCTGTAAATTGCAGGAGAGAGATGAGATGTGGGCCTCAGAGGCCCTGAGGCCAGTTCCACCCTGTCACTTAGGGCCACTGGGGGTTGCAATAGGCTCGATGACACCTGACCTCCACAACAGTTCCTAAGTTATGATGAGAACAGAAAAAAGGCAGCATGTGAAAAGCCCTCAGTACCATAAATGGCAAGTGTTACTATTGCTGCTGTTGCTGTAATAGGAGACTGCATGGAACCCAGACCCCGTGCCGTGGTTCTGACCCACAGACCCCTTCATTGCACTTCCCAGCCCTGGAGACTGCATGGAATCCAGATCCCGTGCCGTGGTTCTGACCCACAGACCCCTTCATTGCACTTCCCAGCCCGGGAGACTTCACAGAAGCGAACTGTCTTGGCTTTACCTCCCAGGGTGGTGAGAGGATTCAAACAGCTAGCCTTTGGGTAAACAGCCCCAGGTGTAGCACCCTACTCCTTAGACAGACTGGATGCAGGTGTCCCCAAATACAGGCCATCTTCCTGTTGTGAGCTGTCGAGCGTCCCCCGTGCGACATACCTCCTATGAACACCCGCTGGTCACTCAGCTGGGAGCCGGTACCAAACAAAAAGCCATCAGAGCTCCCTGTCCTGGTGATCTGTTTGTTAGACACCAGAGGCATGTGGACCCATCGGGGAGGGAATGACCACGACACTGCAGATGCTTTGTCCACAGCAGTACTGAGGGGCTTGAGATGCTGAGACCACTTCATTCATTCAAGAAAAGGAGGGAAACAGGCCTTTTCTTAATGGAGATGTGACCCTTTGTCACCTCAAACCCGTGACTTGGCCATTTGTGTTCAGAAGCCCTAACACCTGCCTGCCAGGGGCACGAGCGAGCTGGACCCAGTGCTCCTTCATAGATTTCTTCCTCCGTCTCAGAATGGGAACTTTCTATGTCATTTCCTTTCCATCGCTGGCATGAAGCAGCTTTCTATTAGGATGAGTATTATCGCTGCTACTTTAAAAGAAATGCATTATTTTTTTTAAACACCATCTTCATTCCAAACAAGCTGAAAACCATGAACAAAAGAGCCTCAACCCAAAGCTCTTTCTTGTAGGAAACAAAGAACTTGGGTTTTTCTAAGACTCAGAAAGAAGCCTTGGTGGCACAGTGTATAAAGTGGTGTGACAGGAGCTGAGAGGGTGAGGCTGGTGGCTTGACCAGCTGGTCTGTGGGAGGAAGATGGGCAGTCGCTTCCTGAGAAGATTTCCAGCCTCAGAAGCCAGACGGCTGGTCACTGTGGACTGTGGTTGTCTTGACGTCAGTGGAGAATACATGATCTCTCTGTAGTACATTAAATGTCACGGTATATAATGAAAAGCTCGCATCACAAGATGTTTGCTGATGTGACACCAATCACAAAACCCAACAACGTGTCGATTCAGAACCAGCTGGGTGACCCTGCCCTGCACGGCCTCCAAGATGACCATCTTTACAGGACCTGCCCACCAGGTCTGTCCTCTGTGGAGCCATCGGTGGGTTCAAGATGCCTTCTCTGTGATAGGCAGCGGAGCGGTGAACTGCCGTGTCACGCACTGACGGCCTTCACCTACCTTCACAAGTTGAAAGAAGGGACAGGGCCATTCTGAAGGCGGCACGTACCTCAGGCTGCCCCAGCACAGCAAACAGGGCTCGGATCTCCTTGAGAATCAGCACCGACAGCTTGCGGGTGGCCACCTGGAAGCTGCAGAGCAGGACCAGAGCGAAGCCCTCAACGGCGTGCAGGACGCTGCAGTGCGGGCCACGCTCCGCCGGCATCCTGTGACTCGACCCGCTGGGGACGAGCTGGAGGGAAGAGACGGCGCACTCTTCTCAGAAATGCAGAGTGGGAGAAGGAGCTCACAGGCTCGTCTCCGAACAGCAGAGCCAGTCTGTCCAGGTTGTACCCCAACCCTCGGTGGGGCTGACGCCTCAACAGAAGCACACCCCACATCCTCACCACGGGGCCCACAAACAACACTGAGACAAACAAAAATCGGTAAGGGCCTTGCTTTACTTGGACCTGCCATCAACTGCCATGGAAGTACCAGTCAAGAAAAGAAATGGGTGAATCTGCTGTAAAAGACTTCTGAAGGTGCTCCCGACCTAAGCCACGTCAACAGCCTCAGATGCTACGGAAGCGGGACACTGACTACGGAAGGCTGAAGTATTCATGCCCTTGGATCATGGTACTGGCCAAGGACGCCAGAAGAACAGACAAACGTGTGTGAGCGGAGTGTAGCCAGATGGTTCTGAGAAGTCAGGGTGGTAGGACTGTCTCCCGTACTGTGGACACGCTCCCAAGAGGGGCCAGAAGGACCTGGGGAAGTAGAGTCACTGAGCTGGGAGGACACAGCTGGCTCACGCGGAGCAGAGCTGGTGAGGGACAGGGCGGGGCTGTGAGGAGGCTGAGCTGACGTCATAGCACCTCACAACAGCACATGCGTGGATGTGACGTGATGCGAGCCATGGAGTCAGATCAGATCACTCTCACAGGGAAATCTAAGGCAACCAACCAGTCGAGGTCATACCCGGGCGGGGTGAATCCTAAACCTAATCACTTCCAGTTTCAAAAAAGCAGAAAAGAAACAGAGACACATTTACAGAAAGGGGCCAAGATTGATGCAGCTGAGAATCATCTAGAAGCCAAAGAACCAAGACATTCCCGGCAGCTGATCAGGAGGGAACTGATGTGGCCAAGCCCTCATTTGGGATTTTAACTTTCAGAGCTATGAGAGGGTGACCTTTTGCTCTTTCCCACCCCCTCGTAGGGTCCCTGTGACAGCCTTGGGTATTCCTCACCTTACTGAACCTTGTGTTCTTTCCTGCCCCCTCATGGAGTCCGTGTGACAGCCCTCGGTGCCCTCACCTTGTTAGTCTCAGCCTCTCCCTTGTGTTCTTTCCCGCCCCCTCGTGGGGTCCTTGTGACAGCCCTCAGTGCCCCTCACCTTGCTGGCTTGCTCTCAGCCCCTCCCCTGTGTTCTTTCCCGCCCCCTCGTGGGGTCCCTGTGACAGCCCTCGGTGTCCTCACCTTGCTGGACCTTGTGTTCTTTCCCGGCCCCTCGTGGGGTCCCTGTGACAGCCCTCGGTGCCCTCACCTTGCTGGACCTTGTGTTCTTTCCCGCCCCCTCGTGGGGTCCCTGTGACAGCCCTCGGTGCCCTCACCTTGCCGACCTGCTCGCAGCCCCTCCCCTGGGTCTGCATGACCAGCTTCCATTGGGTGAGCAGCTGCAGCAGCAGCTTGAGGGATGAGTCGAGGAGTGTGTGGTGCACGTCATTGACCTCACGCAGTAGGAAGTTGGTGAAGCCGAACAGGACGTCTTCTCTCCAGTCCGGGAAGTCCACCAGCAGGCCCTGCAGAGAGTTCTGTGCGATGTGGCGGAGCTCATCGTCCATGTGGATGGACAGCCTGTGAGAGGACGGGACAACCGTGTGCTCAGTGGGCGCCTGCCGCGCCACCGCCAGAGTCCAGGGGGCTCTGTGCTGGCCGCTGACCGAAGGCCAGGGTTCTGACCCCCACTGTTCTGCTGGATGGAGGTTAGGCAGCTGCAGGAACCCGGGGGGTCACCCAGCATCGTGGGCTCTTTGCTGGCCGCAGGCCAGGGTTCTGACCCCCCACTGTTCTGCGGGAAGGAGGTGAAGTGGCCGCAGAAACCCAGGGGGTCGCCAGCATCTGAACCACTTTGCTGGCTGCAGGCTTCATTTAGCTTTGGCTTCTTGGGCACATTGGGCTGACAGAGGTCTCTGCTTCTCCCTATGCCTGACGCCTGCTGTCGCCGAGAGTCACCAAGCTGATTCTGACCCATACGCACCCAATGACCAAGCGCACTGCCCCCTGTGGAGCCTGGCTGTCCTCTTCAAGGAAGGGGTCCTGAGAATGCAGTGGGAACCTCTTGGCTGCCAAGTGAAAAGTCAGCGCTTCGAACCCACCTAGCATCCCTGGGAAGAAAGCCCTGGTCCCTGCTCTCGTAAGCCCCGGGGGACCCTGTGGGCAGCTGCACTCTGTCCTGCGGGGTCACTGTGTGTCAGCACCTATGTGGTAGCATGGCAGCAGCAGGCTCTAAAGATGCAGACATGGGTCTCTCCTGTGGGACCACAGATGGACTCGAACCAGCAACTTGCCGTTAGCAGGGCTGACCCACTGTGCCACCAGGAAGCCTAGTGGAAACGTGGAGCTCCCTTATTTCTGTGTATCAGTGATGTATGTGGAAATGTGAAAAACAAAACCAAACCCACTTCATTTCAGATTTACTGAAAAGCTGCTGACACAGCTCCCATAGGCTGTAGTTGCCTCAATGGCATTGAACACAAAATTCCATGCCTCACTTGTTCTGTTTTACCTAGCTTCCATGACTGTAACAGCAGTACACCCACCAGGAGATATCGACATGCCCCTAGAACATCATGGAAGAGTCGTGCAACGGTTAAGCGGCTGATGGCTAATGGAAAGGTCAAATCCCCCAGCGGCTCCGTGGGAGCAGAGCAGGAGGAGGCAGTCGGCGTCCGTGAAGACAGCAGCCCAGAAACCGCGCGGGGAGCTCTGCTCTGTGCTACCAGAAAGTCCTCCTGTGTCCTACGGGGCAGTTCTCTGTCCTGGAAGACGAGGTGATTCACACCTGGAAAGGGCTCTGGAGGATGAGGAGGGCATCCAGGTGTTCACAGCAATAACAGGCATCCCAGGAGCGGGCTTGACCTCAGGCAGAGGAGGATGGACCAGAGGGACCGGAAGGGAATTTAGAAGGTGGAGTCATCAGAGCTTATCGCCTGGAGGTGCGGGGAGCCAAAGAAGGGCTTGAGTCCAGAAAGCCCTTTGGAAGACAGTAACCCAGCAAATGCAAGGAAGACCGTGGTCCAGAGCCACTGCACAGCACCACACGGCTGATAAGGTGAGAAGTTGAGGCGTCAAGAGGTCCACTCCTTCAACCCCAACTTTTCTCTCTCCAAGAATCTGATACAAGTTGCCACAAAACAAAACAACACGAGCCTTCACTGGCCTTGGGTTGGTTCTCAGTCACAGTGACCCTGGAGGACACAGCAGAGCTGCCTCCCAGCCTTCCAGGGCTTCCATCTTTAAGGAAGCAGACTGCCTCCTCAGGCTGGTGGGTTCGGAGTAGGAACCTTTGGGTCTGCAGCCAGCCACCTTAACCACTGTAGCACCAGCTCTCAGTACAAGCTGTCCCAGCTGTCCCTTACTTAGTAAAGACTGTTGCAGAAGCTTGACAAGCACACTTGAAAAGCAAATGCTTGACAGCATAAGACACACTGATTGGTTCCAACTTGACCCTGAGCGCCAGGTGAAGCTCCTCGAATGACCAGATTGACAGCAAGCCGGGGAAGAGGGAGCTCCTGTCTCAGAACGAGTGAAGTCCCATGGAGACGCCGTGGAGGAAGGGCTGCGCTGGTTCTCTCGGAGGAGTCACCCAGTTAAGTCTAAATGCCCCGCCCCAGTGCTGTCCGACTGCCAGTGGCTCGAAGTGACCCTGCAGGACAGAGGAGAACTGCTTCCAAGGGTTTCCGAAGCTGCGGGTCTTTACAGAGGCAGAATGCTCTGTTTCCTTGGAGCATCTGGTGGATTTGAACAGCCAACCTTTCAGTCAGCAGCCGAGCGCTTGGCCACCGCATGCCCAGTCCCCTGGCTGTACCAGTGTACATTCTCACCAGCAGCTTCTCCACATCTCCATCCACACGTGCTAGTCTGTCTTTGTATGACAGCTGTCCTCCTGGGTGTGAAATGATATCTCAGCATTTTGATTCTTGTTAAATTTTGGTGAAAGTCTACACAGCCAAAATGATACCATTTCAACAACTTCTACACATACAGTTCAGGGATTATGACTGTGCTGCCGTCCTCAACAGCCTTTTCTGAATTACTCCACCACTTTCTCTTACATTTACTGCCAATAAGCTTCTTATTTAAACTTTGAAGTTGTTGTTAATTTCATTGCACATAGGTAATTATTTAAAGAGAAAAATGCTCAAAGCAGATGTTCTTTATTAATTAAGATAAACAATTGTTTGGTTCAAAGAAAATTTCCAGGGGTAGTTTTAGTTTGAGGTTCAAAGACAAAATCAGGACAATTATTTGGGGCCCTGATCCAGCTCAATGAAATCCAGAAAATGGGGATTACTTGAGAATTTTGAATTCTGTTCCTCATTTGCTCCCCTTTTTATAAGGATTCGTTCATAGACTCTTTGATTACACTATTCAGTAATGGTAGCTGGGCACCATCTGGTTCTGACCTCATGTCAAAGGAGGCAGATAGCCACACACTGCAGCCTGCACAGCTTCCTGGGGGCCCAGGTGGGGTGATTCTTCACACATCATCATTACCACCTTCCCTGGTGGCACAGTGGATTAAGCTTTGGGTTGCTAATCTAAAAGTGGGCCATTTCACCTGATCTGCTGCTCCACAGGACAGAGAGGAAGCCGTCTGCTCTGTAAGCCTTGGAGACTCCACGAGTAGGTGTGCTATGTTCTCCGGGACCCCTGGGCAGAGGGAGGCCATGGCTTGGGGTTTTCAGGGGATGTGGGTGTGCGTGCCAGACCTTTCTCCTCTTGAGAACAACCTCTGGCTTCCTTCATGGTCTCCTCATGTGAATACCCTCCTTAGAGGGTTCCCATACAATTCCAGGCCTTTTCCTGATTTCTCCTTAAGATGTGAATACTCCAGAATATTTATTTGTTCTTTTCTCTGATGAAAACACCACCCATGGTCTTGGGATTCTAAGAATGTCCACAATAACAAACCCTGCCTGTTATAAATAGCATTCACATTCCAGCCACGTCTGAGAGGATCCCTCAACATGCCTGGGGCTGTGTCTACAGAGTTGGGCCCCACTTGATGAGGCTGATGAGAGGATTCCAATGTTAAGAACTTCAGCATCAGTCGAGGGGAGCCAGCAACACAAAAGAGGGGGACTGCTCCATCGTTGTTGGTACCACAGAGTCAGCTGGGAACTCAACGTGTGGCGGTTCGAATCACCCTGGGGCTTTGTGGGAGGAAGACCTGGCTATCTACTTCCACAAAGGGGTACCCACCAGACCAGGCCCTCTGCTTCCACAAAGAGGGTACCCACCAAACCAGGCCCTCTGCACTGAGCTGTTTCTGAATCACCAGAACTCGTGTCACATTTCAGGGGGGAGATCTTCACACAGGTCGAAGGTTTCATCTTTCTCATTCTATGTGGCTGGTAGATTCAAACCAGTGACCTTTTGAAGAGCAGCCTGACACGTAATGCACTAGACCACCAGAGATTACATACAGCCTGGGAAAGCCCACCGGACAGTTCCACCCTGTCACATGGGGTCACGATGAGTTCAAATTAACTCGATGGCACCTAACAGCAGCAATAATTGCTGATTCTGAGGTTTGCTCAAATTGAAGAAATAGCTCTCTCGACAATGGCTAAGTTCTTCGTTATGAATTGAACAGTTGGTGGTTTAAACCCAGCAGCTACTGCTTGGGAGAAGGACGAAGAAGTCTGTTGTTGTTAAGTGTCATCAAGTCATGACTACTCAGAGCAATCCTATGAATGAAAGACCTGAACCCCTGTATAACTTTCATCCTTTCTCCATGTTCAGAGGGTTTCCAGAGGCAAGCTATTTTGGAAGTGGATGCCACTCCTGCCTCTAAGCTTATTTTAATCGGGACCTCCACCAAACACCGTCCACCATCGGTAACCATTCTCGCATTTGACTAATCAGTGTCACAGTGTTCAGCTTCACAACAACCATGAGTTACTTCTGTACAGCAAGTGGACAGACCAGTACTGTACCACTTAGAAGAATGTTTGACAAAATACAATTAAAATGAGGCAGTTTAGGAAATCTTATTAGGGAGCTCTGGTGGCCTAGTGGCAAGGAATTGTGCTGGCAACCCAGAGGCTTGCAGTTTGGGTCCACCAGTTGCCCCGTGGGAGAAAGATGGGCAATCTCCTCCTAAGTGATTTACTGCCTCGGACAACCTGACCAGAGGGTCAGCTATGGGTCAGCTCTGACTCTACGGTACCTAACAGCAAAACGACGGGGCAGTCCCACTCTGTTAGACATGATTGTTAGGAGTCGTAACTGTCTTGGTTGACATCCAGTAACACCAGGCTTAGCAAGTTTGCCAGAGAATGGCATAGAAATGGGAAATAATTTCATCAAGTAACATGAATTTTCCTTCTTCAGTTCAGAAGAGGTCTGGTGGCACCGTGGTTAAAGCACCTCCTGACCTTTGGCCAAGTGGTCTGACCTCGCCAGCTGGTGCTTGAGGGAAAGACAGTGCTGCATCCAGGGGGTGACAGCCTGGGGACCCTGTGGGCAGCTCTTCTCGGTCCTCAGGGGTGCAGCAAGTCAGCCTGGACCGATGGCAGTGGGCTGGCCGCCTGTCTAGTGTGATGCCTCATTGTGAGGGACACCTGACGAGGAATTAAAATCATTCTGACCACCCCGCGTCTCAGTCCTCACTTACCTCGCCAGCAAGTCAATGAGCTCGAGCTTGGACATGCCGTCGGGGAGGAGCCGAGGGATGGCGGCCACACATGTCCTGAAGAGGTCGATCTTCGGCTTCCTTTCACCCCTAGAACGGGGTCGAAAAGTGAAAATGATGGTGCGCTCTCTCTTACACACACACACACACACACACACACACACACTGCCACCAGCACCGTCGTGTCACGTCTGCCCTACAGTGTCCCTGTCGGATAGAGCGGAACTGCCCAAAGATGAACGGCTGCACCCTGAGGGAAGCAGACGCTCCCATCTTGCTCCCAGAGAGCAACCAGGTGTTTTGAATTATCAACCTTTTGGTTGACAGCCAAGCACTTAACCACTGGGCCACCTCATTCACTGCCAATACGTCGGTTCCACTTTACAACAATCCTCCACTAAGTTCCCCAGGCTGCAAATCTCCATGGGAGAACACTGCCCACCTTCATCCTGCAGAGAGGCTGGTGGATTTGAACTGCTCATCTTTCTGTTAGCAGTCACTATCGCTGGTGTGGTACATTACATGCTGGACTGCTAACTGAAAGGTCAGTGGTTCGAATCCACTTTCCACCACAAGGGAGACTGATAAGCACTTTCCCTCTGTGAGGACAGAAGCCTTGGAAACCCACGTGATCACAGCAGTCACGGGATCACAGCAGTCACGGGATCACAGCAGTCATGGGATCACAGCAGTCACGGGATCACAGCAGTCACGGGATCACAGCA